ACGAGCGCATCAGAAACGTGTTCCCAAAAGTGAGCGCGTCACCTTTAACCGCGACCAATTAACGCATTGCAACATTCGGCATTCGGGGCTAACTGCCTGCATTGGAACGCCTCAAAAGCTGTTCACCGGCTAAAGCAACGACAAAGTTCGTCGCTATCGAAAGACAAAAGTTAAGTAAAACTAAGTCAAAAGCGCCCAAAAATTGTTGCACTACTGCTAAAGTTATTCCAAAACCAGAAACCAAGAAACATAAAATTTAAAAGAAAGAAGAAAAATAAAACTAAAAAAAAATAAAAGATTATGCGTGTCGTTTGTCTGTTATAAATACTCAGTCAGATCATCAAATTGTCATCATTAGCTTCTCAGCAGTCAACAGCGTTTCAGCCGACATTTCAAAATCGCTCAAAAAATTACAAGTCCTTTTGCAAAAATGAAATTCGTCATTGTTTTTGTTGCTCTCTTCGCCGTTGCCATGGCTGGCAATTTGGATCGTGAAGCTCAAATTGTGCGTCTAGACTCCAATGTAGAACCTCTGAGCTATCAATACGCGTAAGTAGTAATTTATGATTCGATTGCTGCTGAGTGTAGTAATCTGGAATAATTATTGATAACAAATTTAAAATTGCATTTTGCAGACAAGAAACCAGCAACGGCATCAAAAGCCAAGAATCCGGACAGGTGCGCAACTTGGGCACTGAACAAGAAGCCATCGCAGTTCAAGGTTCTTACTCCTACGTCGGTGATGATGGCATAACCTACACTGTCAACTACATCGCCGATGAGAACGGTTTCCAGCCACAGGGTGCTCACATTCCAGTTGCTTGAACGGCGGTTTCATGAATATGAAGCTGAAACGTTGTTGCCTAGTTGTAGATAGTTGAAAAAAATTAAATAAAAAGAATTTATATTTAAAAGAAGTTCCTTTTTATTTTATAAATCAGTATACAATAGGGTTAATGTGCCACTCAAATAATCAGGCTGCTTTGATATTTCAAAGCTTTGAATTAAAAGTTTAAAATCACCAGAACTCACCAAGAATTTATAAGCCGATGGAGTGAACCTTCGTATGAGTTCGAGAAGAGTAGAAAATATGTATATTACAGCATCAAAAGTAAAGCCTTTTCAAACACATTTCGATTGATATCTATCTTTTGATAATTCATCTTTTTTAAAAAAATAATCTCATTCTAACTTTTTAAAAACGTGTGGTAACTCTTTTACAACATTATAAATGTTGCCCGTAATTCACACCCGTATTTTAATATTTCGTATAATTTGTATATAAGTTAATCAAATTCGATTTTTCAAACAGGCGGCAATCCTCGTAAAAAGTATTTTCAAGCTAAAATATTCCTAAATTTCTTTCGCCTAACATGGTGATGAATAAGTTATTTTGGCATCCTTATTTCTAATAAATTTCGTTTAAGTTAATTAAATTCGACTTGTTAAACAGGTGGCAGCCCTCTTCAGACGTAGTTTCAGGCTATAATCTTCTTGAATTACCCTCGTCTGATATTGTGGTACATATTTTAATTAACTGATGAATTAAATTTAATTTGATTTTTTAAATTTGTGGCAACCCTCTAAATATAGTTCAGCAATAAAGCCTTTCGATTGATACCAATATTTTAATAATTTAATTAGCTTATTAAAGAATTTAAATTTTACTTTTTAAACAGTTGGCATCCCTCTGTAAACACCTCAAAAATATTGTTAGTGTCGAAATTAAAGATTTCTTAACACTCTTTTGTTTAACATGTTTTGTCGTGTATAAGTTAACTGAAATCGACTTTTGAAACAGGTGGCAACCCTCTTCAAAATATTTTTAAACTATTGTCTTCTTAAAAAACTGTTCGCCTAGCACTCAAATGGTGATAAATATGTATGTCCGTTACCTAATTCCCTTAATTTAAATTTAATTTAATTTTTAAACAGGTGGCACCCCTCCAGTGAAGTTAAGAGGCAAAGCTTTCAAACCCATTTCGATCGATACTCATTTGGTAATAATTGGTTTAACTTTCTAAATAATTTCAGCTTAATTTTTTAAAGACTCCTTTCAAAAAATAAAACCGACATCAACGCGCAGGGCTATGTATGACCGTATGATAACCGACCTTTTCTGTACTGAGATTGAATATTGTAAAAGAAAACCGTGGCACAATGCGAAAAGAAATATTTATTTTTACCTATCTTAGAAGCGCAAGTCGTATTTATGTATATACAATTATAACTTTGGAGCATTTTAAATCCAATATTCGTCAAGCTATGGACGGGATACTGCCTAATATTGTGTGCCAAAAAATGTTATAGAAAACTATCACAATACCATAAGCTCTTGCAAATATTACCGAATCTGGGCTGATCTGCACGGTTCTGTCTGTGACTAAAGCTTCCAGAGTTCATGCTTTTGGAAGTACTAAAGCCGATGAACGATCGATTGCCACTACACCACAGACTTAGCCACTCTTAACTTGATTAGATCTTTTCGCGGCTGAGTTTTTTGCTTATCATTGTCGCCTGAGGCAAGCATCACTATTGAAAATGAAAGTGGGGTAAAAGTAAAAGTAGATCAGAAGACTATGTAGTTTCAACATACGGAACCCGGGTTTAGTGGCCTCGTGTCGAAGATATCTAACGGGATAAAAGGAGTTAATCCTCCTTAGAGGGGCCTGCGACAAGTGCAGGCATAACGAGTGCACTAAAATACTGCCCGTCGCAAGCAATAGACGTTATCCTCAGCCTGATGCCTTAGAAAATTAATCCCTCAAATAAATCTTTCCAGAATTTATTTTGCAGCTTTTGACTTTGAAGTAAAAGAATAAAAATTAATTCTGTAAATTGCATTTTACCATAGCATAGGGCTGCCATACGTCCCGGTAAAAAATCGCAAAAATCCATTCCACATACACAATTAAAAATGGCAAAAAAGTTGAACGTAATGTTTCAATGTGGATCATATCGCACTTGCGCTATGAGAAGGAGTAGGGGTGCTTAGGACATTTTCAAAAAATTGTCCCGGTTTTGCCTCACATAAATATGACAGCCCTGCCATAGCACTATGGTAAAAATTCGTTGTTCCTACCTACTAAAACAAACTTTTTTCCTTGGTATTTAATAACAAATTTTTTTTTTTTAAATAGCTATCGACAACTGCTTAGGAGGTTGTCGTAGTCGCTGTCTGCGAGTGAAATACATATTGGATCTGTTGTTTGCTCTGCTTTTTTTTTTTTTAGTTCGAACAACCAAAAATAAGTTAGTATTTATCTAAAAAAATTTACAAAAGTATAGAAAATAAAGAAAAAAAGGAGGCTATTTTAAAATCTATAACTGACATTTTTTGGAAATTTTCTTGGCGACAAAAATGCATACCTCTGACTTAACCTTGAATAGATTTTTTCTAAAGAATTAAATTCGAAAAAGCGTTTAAAATATTGGTCGTGTGAAGAATACCAAAATCGTTTTGAGTTTAATACTCATGCTTCGAGTTTTTGCGATTTTACCATTTGGGGGAGAACTCAATAAAGAGAGGAAACAAAAAAAAAACTGTGTACAATTTTCTTGCTGCAAAATCTACTCATTTTAAGTTTTCGTCGGAGAAATTAGGAAATTCAGACCTTTCAGGTAATTTTTAAAAAATGGCCACTGCATGAATACACTGCCGGAAAAAATATTTTCACAAACAATTTTTACAATATGCATACATATCCAATAATTTTTATTTTTATTTTTTTCTGCGAATTTTTTATAAAAATACGGTTCCTACTACAAAAAAAAAAACATAAAAATATGATTCCTAAACTTTGTGCAAAATTAAGGAAAATTCAATTCAATTCGTTTGAGCTTTGTAGTCTAATCAATTTTATTACAATTAAGTGCAATTTTGAAGTAGATAGGGCTTGGAATTTTTGGGGAAAAAAAACAAAAAAATCTATAAAAACCAACGCTTGTGGGCTACAAAACTGCATATTCAGAAAATTTATTGAATTTTTCACAAACTTTAGAAATCATATTTTTATGTTTTTTTTGTTGTAGAATGAACCACATTTTTATAAAAAATTAGCGGAAAAAATTTGAATAGACGTTGTTGCATATATTGTGAAACATGCTTTATGCCAATACTTTTTTCCGGCGTTGTAGATTTTTTAGCTAAATTGCTTTTTTTCCTTAATACAAATATTTATAAACATCTGCATTCAAACTTTTTCAATAAAACCAAAAATTAAAAAGTAACTCATTTATAGATACCCAACGGTCGTCAAGGGTTAAGAATTTTTTGCAAGCATGTTGGAAATCATATGCCAATAAATAAAAATATTATTGTTTTCTTTAAGCAACCTCCTGGTTTGATCAAAATTAATTTTTTTTACTTTTGATTTAATTTTTTGATTTCACTCTTGTTTTTTTTATTTTAACACAGTTTTTGGTAAAAAAGTTAGCGTGTGAAAACAACCATTAGTTAGGAATAATTCCGAAAATGCAAACAAAATTCCCGCGTAGAATCTCAGAAAAATCTCCAAAAATTAGGAGTGATTTAATTTTTTATTACCTCCTATTTAATAGAAAAAAATATAAATCCTACTGGATATTGTCCACTAAAGGCCCGTACACAGTTGTCAAGGAAAATAACTAGAAATATTTTTCATTATTTATTTCTGTTACTCGGAAAATTACTTTGCAGTTGGTGTAAATTTTCTTGATGACATAAATATACGAGCATTTTCTTCTTAAGAACTGCATACTGATTCAAGAAAACTTCTTTTCTAATTCTTTCGAGTCATTTTATATTATTATTTTTTTCATAAAGCGCGCTGATTTCAAAAGCTAAAAATGAAATTTAACAGCCTCTGTAAGGAATAAAAATTTTATGGGAAGTGTGATGAAAAGTTTTTTTTTCGATTCAGAATCTAGTACGTATATGGAAATCTATGTATATATCAGCCACAAATCCACTCAAATCTCCGCCAATAACAACAAAATAAATAATTTAAACTTCAAGCGCATTTAAGTATTTCACGTCTACAACAAAGTTTTATTCAAATGCCTATGTGCTCGCATTTCAATTGCTTTCATTTTTTTATGTTTTATCTATGTACTTGCACTTGTATGAATGTATGTACCTTACTTAAACCTAGTTAACACAATGAGTATAAAATCGCTGGATATGCCCGCTCTCTTAACGCTGTTTTGCTGCTGTTGTTTGTTTGTTTTTTTTTTTTTTGCTCTCAAATTCCTCAGTACTCCTACGGATTAGTTAAGTATTTATGTGGATTACTTTGTGGGGGTACCACAAGAACGATCATCACATTTAGAACACCACTCTCTCAACTTAGACACGTGGCAAATGAGCGCCTTCCGGTTGGAAACCATTCTCATCGGCAATGTAATTGACGGTGTAAGTCTGACCATCGTCGCCGACATAGGAGAATGAGCCACGTACAACAATCGCTTCGTGATCAGTGCCGACGTCCTTCAATTTTCCCTCCTCTTCATGCAGTTTGCCATCACTGGTCTCAACACTGAAATGTGTATGAGTATGTAGGTCACCGGGACACAGCAATCAAGGCAATGGCCGAGAAAGAAAGAGTAAACAAAATTTTTTATTGACGTAATTAGTGTTAAATACGTAATTAATATTGCGGCGCGACCTTGTAACGTGACACATGCACGCACAAGTGAATGGTGGTGGCCACAAAAACTGGAAGCACACAACTACAAGCACACATACATGCACACATACACACTTTCGTTGTTGTACTTATACATATGTACTTGTACATACACATTTGACTTACAGAAATTTATATCCCTCCGGCTCCACATCCGAATCGTAACGCAAAACCTGTACTTCTTGTTGTGGTGCTGGCGCTGCCATGGAGCAGGCGATGCAAACAACAACAAATACAATAGCAAACTTCATCTTGAATGAGATTGCGCAATCTTGCGTTTAGTGTAAATGGGACACTTCCTTTTTCTTTTGCGTTTTTTTTTTGGTTTTTGTTGTTCTCCTTTTTTCTTCTTCACGCACACAAACACACGCGCTTACAACGAACTATGTAGGTGTTTTCTTAACGGTCGAGGGTTTTTTGCCAGAGGCGGGATCGCGAGATGTGTTTTTAATGGAGTTTTGGTATTGGTGGTGTTGGATGGCCGCCTGAACGGTTGGACGGTTAGTTGGTCGGTTGTGACTTGTCGAAGTACTGAACAATTAATGCTTGCCAAAGCCTTTTATTACAGACATTTTATACTCGTCGCGTGTGCACGTTTTAATGCCGGCAAAATACTCGTAACTTTAAGTACTGCCCATTCGTAATGGATGGCAACTCGATACGCTGGCAATGCAAATGTAAATATGTATGTATGTTTGTAAGAGTACTTACCTGTGTACAGCGAGATGAAGCGGCAACAACAGCAACAACAACCAAACATGCTTACAACTAATTACATACATACACCTATCGTTCGCCAATACTTACTTGCAACAACAAATACATATGCAAGTGAAGAAGATGCAGTCGTGCAATGCGCCGATGTTGCTGCTGCTGTTGTGAGGTGTGTGAATTTTGCAATTTTCAGCAGGAATATTCACGCGCATCGGTCGAATGGTGGAAAAAAAATGCCGAAAACGTGTTTTAATGCTTCTTAAGAAAATAAAACACGCGCGGCAAAAACATATGCATGCAGTCACTTACAAACACATGTAATGGAGACTGACAACTGGTACAGGTCGAACCTCTGGAAATTTTAAAGTTTACAAAAAGATAGTAATTTTCCAAATACTGTCTAAGCTGGGCAAAGTTTCTTTCTCATTTACAGTGTTAGATGCAATTTTCACTGATTGAGATGAATATGTATCTATATGTATATATACAAATGTGTGTATGAGTAAGAGGAAGAGTATAAGTGTGAGTATAAATATTAATGTGAATACATTTGAATGTGAGAATGAGAAGTAGTATGAGTAGGAGTATGAGTATAAGTATGAGTACGAGTATACATAAGTATGAGTATGAATATGAGTAGGAATATGAGTATGCCTATGACTAGGTATAAATAATAATTGAGGTATTCACAACGGTGTCTTAGGTGTCATATTGTTGTATGTCGTAAACTTTAAACATATAAAAAGTATATTAAGGGGGTTCGCAAAGTACCATCAGAGTCATATTATGCATTTTCGAAATGTTAAAAAATAGTTGCTTGTGGCTTCAAATCCTCTAAACATTTATTTAAACTTTTAATGTTTACGACATACAACTATACGACACTTGTGAGAATGAGGATTATACGAGTATATGTATGAGTATGAGTATGAGTATAGTAAGAGTATGAGTATGGGTATGAGTATGAATATGAGTATGAGTATGAGTACGAGTATGAACATATAATGGGTATTCCACGGCCACTATTTGTCTGAGAGACTGTATGCATGCAGAGGAGAAGGATTCACATCAAACAGGTTGGAGTGAAAGTATGGGCCTATACTGCTGATGTGGTAGTTCTAGTTACCGGGATATTTGCATATGTGTTGAACAATATCATGGAAGGAGCTCTAGGAAAGCTAGATTGATAAGCTGAGCAATATGCTCTTAAAGTTAGTCCAGAAAAAACAGATAAAGTGTCTTAGCTTTGGATTACCAAAGTCGAATGGTCAAATCCTACAATTATTTAAAGGAGCGATGTATTTGTCAGATATACCAGCATTGAAAAAGTAAGTAAGTAGAATAAAGTGTAAAAAAGCAAGCGTTGCCTTTTACTCTTGCAAAAGAATTTTTTGGTGAGACATGAGGTTTCGATGCAAAAATTATATTCTTGACGTACACAGAAGTGGTCACGGTTTGCTAGTTTACAAAAAAAAAACCTTGAAATCTTGAGAAAATAAGCGAAGTTTAGAAGCACGCAAGCCTAGGGGCGACAGGAGCAATGATAACTTGCTCTACGGATGCCCTCAATGTTATTACAAACCTTTTTGCTATAGATCTTTATATAATGTATTGTCTGTTCCAAGAACCAGAGAACCGGATTTATGAAAAGGAATAAAAATTGGCGAATAGCGGTATAGTTGTACTTAATTTTCGGCCAAGCCAAAACTGGTAATACACGACCTGAAATAGAATTAAACAGACTATTCGTGTGTCTTCTGTCGAAAACCGACCGAGGAGCGGAATTTCCTGGCGGGGAGAACATAGAAGAAAATTTTGCATAACCCAATTGACTGACCCAATTCCAAAAACAAACACTTTTAGTTTATTATTTTAATAAGTTTAAGCTAACTACGGATTGCAAAAACATGCCATTACGCCAGCGCAGTAACGGCAACCCTTATTAATAAATATATGTAAACATCTTTCCAAAATTACCGCTGTTCAAAAAAAAAATTTCAAAACATAATTTTGACTTCAAATGCCCACCAATGACTCAGCTTTGATGTGCGCAACGAACTAACTTTGTAGATACATATGTACATATGTACATACATTGTGATAGTCGCATCTCATACACGCACACACCCACACACACACACTTGCGCCGGCGCATGCATTCGAAATGTTTTATGCAGTTTATTTGCTAGATGTCAAAAGGCCAAGTTATTGTTTGCACTTGATGAGTGATCGAACGAAAACTAACCGCATAGACGTTGGCAAATGTGCGAAGTGAATTTGCTTATTTGTGGCGGTCAGATAGGTTGGGCAGCAGCAACACCACCAGCAGACGATCACTCATCAACTGTGGCCCCAACTGCTGTGCCAATTGGTCGAATGAGTTTGATTTTTCTTATTGCATTTTGCTTTGTACCAAACTTGAGGTGCCACAGTCAGTTAGTCACTCAGTCCACGCATATCACGCAGACAGCCCGCCGGCAATAAATAGTCGCAAGCAGCATCCATTTGTATGCTAACCTACTTCTATCAAAGTAAACAACACAAATACATAGATAAATTTTGCAAAGCTCATAATCGTGTGTGTGTGTGTATGTTTATTAATATGTAAACGTAAACTATAAAAAAAAGGTTCATGTAATTATTTGTACTGTTGTATGCGCTTGTAAGTATGTTAACAACAACTACAAAAATATTTATACATATTAATGTACTTAAATACTAATACATTCAACTGAAAACCTCACACCGCATTCGAACGCAGTGGAAAGCAGTTACTGTGTAATTAAAAGTAACGCAAATGTTAGGTGGCACTCCTGCGCGCGATATTTCATATATTGTCCACTGTGTTACCACTTAATCGATTTTTCCGGTACGGTAACTGTAGGCCATTAGCGCACACAAGGGGTGGGTTTTGGGGTTCAATAATAACCTCAAATACAAACTGTATCTTAAAGCTAAGAATCCAGCTCTCAAGGAAATTATAAGAAATATTTATTATAATTTCTGTTGCTTGAAAAAGCGCTTTGCTTTTGCTGTAAATTTTCATGAGGGAATAAATATGCGAGCATTTTTTGCTTGAGAGCTGCAAACTGATTTAAGAAATTTTGGTAGAAGAAAATTTCTTTTACATTTCTCGTCCGTCGTTTTATATGAATTTTTCGTTTTTCTTGAGAGTTCAGTTAATTTTTTCGGTATTCGAAATATTAAAAAAAAATTAGAAATCGTTAAAAATCACCATCTCTATCGAAAGCCAGAAACCAGAAATCGAAAAAAGTAACATAAAAGTGCAAAAATTCATGGAATCAATAAATTTATTTTTACTGAGTCTTATTTAAAATTTTTTCTTAGGTACTTTTGAAAGTTGAGCGCATCATGAATTCATAGTACTTTTTATTAAACAAGTAGTTTTTAAGGAAATAACACAACGGACTTCAATTCTTATATTCAAATTTAGGGGTACCGTTAATTTCTTCATGATCCAATCATCGATCTCTAAACCAAATTACGGGAGGTACCATCTTTCTACAAAAAAATGATTATTGAAATCGGTTCACGTGGTCCAAAGTTACGAATTGATAACCTCCCCTTTTTTTAAAGTCGGTTAAAAGTGTTTGAGTTCTGTTAATCTTATGTAAATAAAGTGCAGTTTATGAATTTTAAAACGTTTATTTATTTATTACATACTGTACATAAAACTTGCATAAATATATTTTAAAGAGCGTATTATCTGAAGAAAATTTTCAGTATTTTCCGGTGACATATCTTCAGAAATATAAAACCCCCCCTAAAATATATTCCGAAACTATTTAAATTCGCACCTATCAGAAGCAAAAGTCATCGCTTAGCCAGCTAAAGGAGCTCCTTAGTTAACTCAAGGTCAACTACCGGGTAGAAATATTTCTGCCCAACGCTCGTTAGTCTAAGCTTGAGATTAATGCAAAGCACTTCTCCTCCAACTCTATCAGCCAGCTTCGAAGCATCCGTGAAAATGTTCTCGAGGCTGTGTGTAGAGAAGAATGTCTACGTTTTCAACGTTAAGGGTAGTATTGAATGTTATATTTGGTGTGTGGCTGTTTGCATCTGCATTACCTATTTAGTCAATGTAGACTGTTTTTAATGGTTTCCACTAGGAAATGATCCCTTACAACCAAATTGATTAATGTTTCATATAGCAAGTAGAACGGCGCAACATCTAAAGCGCTTTTACAGAAGCATAGGGCAACTGATGCCTTTTTCCCGTGCTGCTCAATATTCGACTAGCTGAGTACTTAAAGGCACTGTCCTACCCCAATTTCTCGGAGTATGCGGGATATAACAACATGTCTATGTAGTTCAATGGCCCTTAGCCTGAAATTCCAAGTTAACTTCATCTATGCTAGTGAAAGAGAGCCCTAAAGGTTGTATAGCCCTGCCCGATATCATGGTCACCAGCATGCCAAATGTGTCAATGCTCAGAGAGTTAAACTCGTTTATCCCAGTTGGTTCTGTTAGGGAAAACTACATAAGGCTTTAAAATCCTACTAATATTATAAAAGTGAAAGTTTGTGAGAGAGTGTGTTTGTTTGTAGCTCTTTCACGCTAAAATGGCCGAACGTATTTTAATTAAATTTGGCACACTTATAGGCCATGATGACCATATATTAACATATAGGATATTTTTTGAAGGGGGTTGCCACTTTTAAAAATCAACTGAAAATTTATAAAAGTTAGTTAAAATGTCACAAGCGTGTGGGTGTCAAACAAAAGCAGTTTAAAAACGATTTTTTCAAAAATATTTTTGAAGAGAGTTGCCACCTTTTCACAAAATTAAAATCAATTTAATTAACTATTAAATCAAATATTTTAGTTTGGGTACCAAGTGA